GGACTAAATGGTATTTCATTTCATTTCAAATATCCTCATTTGTGTTTCAAAGATGAACAAAAGTCATACAGGTTTGGAATGAGTAATTGATGACAGAATTTAAATTTTTTTCATAACTGCTTCACTCTGGATTTTTGTTATAAACTCATGCCAAAAATCACCAGCAGCCTTCAGTATGTTCCAGTCAAACAATAAAGCAAATGTCTAGGTTTCTCTAGGTATCCACAACCGCACCAGCTCAGATATTGTCATTTGATGTCATTTACTCTATCTAAAGAGTCAGTGTACATATTTTTTACATATATATATATATATATATATATATATAAAGGAAACATGTTGTCGTATGACTACACGGTCACTTTGGTGTCATATTGAACATTCAGTATTAAAAGAGGGGCACACTACAATAGCGCCACACTCTTCTGCAACCCACATTGGCATTAACTCGATGAATCAATGAGTTCCTGCTCAAAAGGGCAGGAAATGATGTGGGATGCAGCCAGGAACACTTACGCTCTGATATGCAATCTCACTGTGTTTTTCCCGTGCATGATGCAATACAAGTGCCTCGATTTTATATAGATTGTGCTTTCTGCAAAGTGCAAAGTCACAAATTATTGGTATTTCCAGCCCCTGAAATCCAGAATGGATCTGTATTCGTAACTATTTGAAGGTCATACCTCTGTTCAACTTTATCCATTCCAAGGTTATTGTTTCATGCAGACAAATTTTGCTATTTAGTTTCAGTTTCCTCTATATATTAGTCATTCCAGAAGCCTTTTTTTTAAATAATTAGTGCCTACTCTGTGGTTGGTGTAAATGTAATTTGTTTGGGTTTCCGGTCACACTGAAGCTTCTTAAAAGAGCTGAACCATCACTGTAAAAAAACACTTCAGTGCAAAACTCAAAAATAATTCTTCTCAAAAGCATACCTCTTTGTACAAATGTGATCATTTACCTCAGTGTACATAAAGGTTTGTTCATTTAGATGTGACATTGATTTGTACAAAGTGCTTTCATTGTAAAATGTTTTTATGTTTTATTTGTGTCTTTCAAGGAATTGTCAATTATGTATTCTAGTGCTCTCCCTAATGTTTGAAACACTTGGCAATCTCTGCAAATGAGAAAATCTTTTGAGTCTTATTTTCTTCTACAGTGTCGCGTTGTCATTCAGAGTAGAGTGTTCAAGGATCAGATTGAATTGAATCACTGTTAACGGATGAGAAGATGAATGCTCAAATTGTAGTGGATATGTCTTTTTTCTGTTGTTAAACTTATAAAGATGAAATTCATGTTAATAAATAGGTACTTATTTTACCTTGGAGAATTTGGTGTATTTCTTGAAAGTTGGACTTAAGTGCGACACATTGTCTCTTCAATGTTCTTGTGTGGATGTCTGTAGTTTTATTTCTCTGTTGCAGCACTGAACATCATGGGGAACAATTGATTTTCATAGATGCCCATTTTGAATTTTGCCTAAATATTTCTTTGACTCCACTAACAGGCCGCTGAATAGAAGCACACATACATTGCTGTACAAAAGTTTGAAAGGAATAAATACTTGTTTCTGCAAGAACTCATTAAATTAATCAAGAGTGGCAGTACATTTGTAATGTTAAAAATTTAAATAAATCCTATTCTTTGTATTCCTCAAATAATTTTGAAAAAAAAGATAATAGTATTTTACAATATTACAGTATTCTCACTGTATTATTGATCTGCAGGACTTGAGCGTGTTCCTCTGTACAGTAAAGTGCAGCTGTGGTATCCGTCTGGTTTACTGTTCAGGTATTGCAGGTGTATAAAAGGGTTTTCTGGTGCTCTGGAAATCTACCTCAAAGAACTAATTTGTTCTTTCTTCACAACACGTCAAAGTCCACCAGCTTCTTCTACCTCAACACAACACAACAATCAGGTGAGGGAAGAATGCAGGAGCAGAACAAATGGGTCTCAGGCAAAAGAAACAGCAGGTGTGAAAAACTGATTCAAGAAGAAATTTGACCATCGTGTCTAAAAAATATACAAGACGACACACTGTAAACATCTAGTCAAGTTCATTTAATCTCTGAGGACACTGAATATTTAACTGTGTGTGAGTCTATGATGCTGCCTCATGTTCCACAAACGGAGGACTTGCTTACACTTCCTGACTACTGTGTGTGTATACATATACACATACATACATATACACGACACTTACATGTATATATATTTTTCTATTCTTTGCAAACATACATATGCAAAAAAAAAAAAAACTAGTAAAACATTTTTTTTTTGACTTTTCAGATTTTTTTTAGATTTTAATTGCCGTGACAAGCAGGTAAATAAGAACAGTACAATGCTCTGAATACATTATTTAAACATTTTATTTTTAAACCTCTACATTGTTCATCTACGCTGTCTGTTCTCGGTGCCCTCTTTCATTTGTGTGCTGTATGTGTTTAGAAAGTGAAGAGATTGAATTCATCCACATTCTGGACTGTGGACAACTGGCTCGGTTGTGCTCAAACTTTTATGAAGTCTGAATTATAAATTAGTGAGAGGAGCTGAAGGTCAAACAAATGTTGTTCTGTCTGTTTCAGAGGCCACAAGTGATGCTGACAGGAAGAGTGGCTTGAAGCGTTCTTACTTTTTTCCCCCCTTCGCTCTAATGCACCTGAAGACACAAGCTAGATACTGTACCTTAAAGCAACCGTATCCTTGACCTCTACCTAAATAGACCCTGTTGGGCCACAGAGTGAAGAACTACTTGGGTTTTTTTATCAATTATGCCAATAGAAACTATCCATTCCGTATTGCAAGAACAAATGAGATGGGATGGTTTAAGTCGCTTTCATTTAGCGGCGTTCCCAAGGCCTTTCCGTTAATGTAATTATTCAATTATTGTTCTCTGTGAAAGAAATGTCAAATAATGAAGTCTAGACTGAAAAGTTGCAAAAGAACAGGTCTGGCATTCTGATCTGGCCTTATCTCCGAAGAGACTGCTACACAATTTACAGCTGCGTCAAAGCAATGACTTTTTCAAACATAACTTAAGTAATGTGCCAAGAGAGACTGGATACTGAAGCAAACACAAACTCCGATCTGATCATTCAGAACACTGTTCAAAGGCATCATTTTTTCTTTGGCTTTTTGTTTCACCTTGAACATCCTCAGAGGCATTTTTGCAAGAATTTCCTGATGTTCAAAACTGAGCCCAGTATAGGGCAGTATTCAGATCTGCTGTTTTCACCAGTAGCTATATAACAGTGTAGACAGACACAAGGGTGTACAATGCCTTGAAGAGAATGAAAATTCTCGCTATGTCCTTTTCCAGACAAGGCAAATTTGATTGATTGTTGCATACACTATCATTATGAGGATTCAATTATGACATAACGACGTATAAACTGATGTTGGCACGTGTGCTTTTCCTTCAAAGTACAACAGTAAGTATTAATAATGCCTAGACCTGAAACTAAAGAGGTAAAGTCCACTGGAGATTATTACTTTACAGCGCCACCTTGTGGTGGTAATGAACTGTTGCCAATGTAAAGTAAACTTTGTTTTAAAATCTGTATATGACACGAATATATTTATTGTTTCAAGTAATATTAATATATGAAATATTAATAATTTATTTATATTGGATAAGAATATTTTACTTTGTTTTATTAATATTATAATTTATTAATATATTAAAGAATATTAATATTACTTAACACTATTTTAATACTATTATATTTTATTATTATTATTTCTAAGCTATATTAAACAAAGCTGTACCAAAACTTGTTCCAAATATGTACTGTGCAACCCAACCGAGCAGCCACAAAATCTCTGCTAGGTTTGATTTACAAAGAAGGATTATATCAGGTCACCTTTTGTAACACGTATATCCGAACATGTGTACATCTGTACGTGTATATCTGTATATAAAACAAAAAATAGAATAACAGCTCATAAACGCAAATATCTACTTATTTCAGAAACTGCGTATTTGCTGGAATTTCCATGCATGACCATCTCTAGGGTTTACAGTGAATGGTCTAAAAAAAAGAGAAGATATCCAGTGAGCAGCAGTTCTGTGACAGAGAATAGCCAGACTGGTTTGAGCTGATAGAAAGGCAACAGTTACTCAAATGACCACTCGTTACAACTGAGGTAGCTGTATGCAGAAGAGCATCTCTGAACACACAACACATCACACCTTGAAGCAGATGGGTTACAGCAGCACCCGGTGCCACTCCTGTAAGCTAAGAACAGGAAACTGAGCCTACAATTTGCACAGGCTCTCTAAAATTGGACAATAGGAGACTGGACAAAAGGTCGCCTGGTCTGATGAGTCTTGATTTCTGCTGTGATATTCAGATGGTAGGGTCAGAATTTGGCATAAACAACATGAAAGCATGGCTCCATCCTGCCTTCTTTCAATGGTTCAGGCTGCTGGTGGTGGTGGTATGTGTGAAGGATATTTTTCTTGGCACACTTGTGCTCCTTAGTACCATTTGAATATTGTTTAAATGTCACAGCCTACCGGAGTATTGTTGCTGAGCATGTCCATCCCTTGGTGAACAGTGGCCAAGCAGCAGGATTACACACCATATCACAAAGCTCAAATCACCTCGAACTGGCTTCTAGAGCATGACAATGAGTTCATTATACTCAAACAGCTCCATAGTCAGCAGATCTCAATTCAATAAAATCCCATTTATTAAATATTCTATATAAATATATTTATTAAATCATTTAAAAATGTATAATTTAAAAAACCTATTATTAAATAAAGTTAACATGTAAAACAGGCAAAGACAGAAATATGTTTTAAAAGACATCACCCATAAAAGGTTATGGGTGATGAGTTTGATATAAAAAGTTAGATTTTAATCAATAACATTTCACAGACATTCAAGAAGTGTTTAATACCCTTTATGTGTGATGAAATAAAAATGTTTGATTATTTCAGAGCACTGTTTTTACATATGAAAATATTTTTAGAAGCGAACAATACAAAATTATAAAACAAGCAGTTTGTTGAGGCTGTTTGTTGTTACTATTCTTAAACTGATCTGCTATAATCCCTAACGTGAAAGCTTATGTATAACCTGTTATGCTTATAAACATATACTTCAGTTCTGACATTGAAAACTTAAGTGCACTTTCTGCGACCACAGATGAGGAACCATGAGTCGCCAACAGTCTTGTATGCTGAGAGAAAGATGGAGGCGTTTCAACGTCTTTAACTTCTAGTTTTTGTACTCGTACTTCTGCTCCAGTTTGTAAGTTTGTTTTCTTCCAGTCATGCCTGAGTTATTGAGCTTCTTCCGTTTCTTTCTTTCTTTCACCTCACGGATTGAATAAGAAAAGTCTGTTTATTTCTTCTGCGAGTCCTGCATGACCTGATCATAGGAAGGAGGGGGCTGGCTGTAGTAGGACGGCAGGGCTGAATACACTGCAGTCACGTGACCGGGGTGTGTCTGCACTGGGTAGACGGTGGAGATGACTGCAGTCTCCGAGTCTCCATAATTGTGAAAGCCAGCCTGACGCAATCCTACCAACACACAGAGACGGCATACACACAGCGGATGAGACCACATGAGCGCTGTATGCAAGACGAGTGCAGAGGAAGAGATTACCTGGAGTTATGATGGGGTGTCTGGTAAAGGACACGTTAAAATCAGGTCCCTCAGGTGGAGGGTAAGGGTGGACACGCCTGCGGATGAAGTACCCAGTACTGCAGCAGCACAAAATGCCAATTATCAGCAGCAGCCTACCGATCAATCAAAAACAGCCCATGAAATCAATTGAATTGTTCCGATCCAGGGCGGCACAGTGGCTCAGTGTCATCTCATATCGAGAGGATCCACAGTTCTTTGCAAACTTACATAGGACAAACGGTTTGAGAAACGGAGGGGTGTTCTGATCCACCCTCTGAGCTTGAATGGAATTTCCCAAAAATCCTGTTTTTAAAGGGGTCATATGATGTTGCTAAAAAGAACATTAATTGGTGTAATGAAATGTGTTTATGCGGTTTAAAATTCAAAAAACACATTATTTTCCACATACTGTACATTATTGTTTCTCCTCTATGCCCTGCCTCTCTGAAACGCGTCGATTTTTACAAAGCTCGTTGGTCTGAAAAGCGAAGTGTGCTCTGATTGGCCAGCGATCCAATGCATTGTGATTGGCCGAATACCTCAAGCGTGTGATGGAAATGTTACGCCCCTACCATACTGTGATGCCCTGTCAGGCCGGAGCGATGATTAAAAAACATGAAAACCGATTACAACCGAGGCATTTGTTGCATCCAGTGGGGAAATAATTATGTATTATAATGATTTATACTGTTTTTTTACGCATTGCGTTGCATCGCGCCGCATAAACATAAAACCATGTCTGCATTTGTGATTGGAGAAATGACAAACAAGCACTACTCTACACTGCTCAAAACTCGCGTTTGAATCGTCAGTGGCAAATCCTTTAAATGAAAATGTACTTACAGTCTGTGAGTCAGAACAGCCGGCATTGTAGTCTACTCTACCAGGATCAGGAAACATTCCTCCATAAAATGTGCTGCACACATCTGAATATTTGGGTTGAACTGTTCTGGAACAGTGTTGTAAATACAACTTAACCACTGATTTCTAGTCGTGTCCTCTTTTGGAAGACCAAACAAAGTAGTTTCGCTTTCACAACGAAACACACGGCGGATACACACACCAATGTAAAGTAAACACACACAGGGCTGAGCGAGCGGTGGCCGGGCTCCGGAGGGCTAGAGTGAGGAACGGCCGGAGGGCTAGAGTGAGCGGTGGCGGGCGGGCTTGAGAACGGAACGGCCGGTGGATTCGACGAAGGAGCGTCCGGCGGACTTGCGGCAACCACATGTGGCGACCCCGGGCTGGACTCCGCTTCGTCCACGGTGAAAGCCGATCCGGCGATCCACAACGCAAAGTTGATGTATTTCCTCAGCGACCAGCTCTAGGCATGACGAAGCAGATATTGTCTTCTTTTGGAAGGCCAAACAAAGTAGTTTCACTTTCACAACGAAACACACAGAACACAAACACACACACGACATGGGGGCAACAACAATACTACAGCAAGAATAAAAGTTACGCCTTCTTTCTTTGCATGAACATTTGGGCGGAGTTATGCAAATCTTCCCACATCGTGATGTAGATATGTGTGGGCGTGTTAGAACGAGCCGTTTAAGGTAGGCGTGGCTGACTCTTATCTTTTATAAAGAATATCTTTGGATTTGAGACTTTAGTCTTTGCAACTTCACAGATCTTCTTTATGCACCAAGAGCTTGTAACACTCCAAAGAGAAAGAAAAAATTTAAATCGCATCATATGACCCCTTTAAAAAGCTTCAAAATGAAAAAGAAGGTCTAACAAGTAACTCACCAGAAATACCATATCCTCTGAACAGAAAGGGCTCGAACACAGCATTGCGTGCCACAGCAGTCCTCATATGTCTTGCATCTATGACACAGACATATTCGTCCTTCAGAAGTTTGGGGTCAGCAAAGATGCAGTAAATTGGTCAAAAGTGTCAGTAAGACATTTATAATGTTACAAAAGATTTCTATTTCACATAAATCTGTATTCTATTCATCAAAGTGTCATGAAAAAATGTATCACGGTTTCCATAAACATGTTAAGCAGCTCAACTGTTTTCAACAGTGACAATGATAAGAAATGGTTCTTGAGCAGCAAATCATAATTTGTGAAGAATCATGTGACACTGAAGACTGGCATAACGGCTGCTAAAAATGCAGCTTTGCCATCACCGGAATAAATTACATTTAAAAATATATTCAAATAAAGAACAGTTATTTAAGTTGTAATATCAAATAAATGCAGCCTTAGTGGAAAAAAAAGATTGAAAAAAGATTAATTTAGCTACATTAAAAAAAATAAGTGTTATATCACAGTAAGACAAGGTGACCATCATCTACAGATTTACAGTTAGTTTACAGTTTTCATTCAGATAATATTTAAAGATAAACCCTAGTATTTGTTGCTGCACAAATGACTTGTGAGGTAAAAGCAAAACTTGATGATGAATGTGTTCTTTTGAATTAAATGTAATTAAGAAGCATGACGTAGTGTCTGCTGTGGCTGCAGGAGAATTAATCTGTGCTTTTAGTGTGAAGACTGAGCTGTTTGTACCTCACCTCCTGTGGCGTATGTCAGCGGTTGGCTGTACAGGAGCACTTGTGATAAATTACTCTTATTGAAACCATTAAAAAAGGGGGAAAGTTTCTGAGCTAAGGAATTCTCTTTTTTTCCACTGTGCATCTGAATGAATTTGACCCCTTTAAAATGCATAATTTCAGTTAGGGTAAAGAAAAGCTTTTGGCTTCTCCTCTGAGGCCACAAGAGGGCGCATCGAGCACAATTTTATTAATGCACGTTTATTCAAAGCATAAGATAAAATGACTGTGGAAAAAAGTGCATAATGTTTAAAATAATGCTTATAAACCAATTATAATGAATTAAGTTGCTTAAACAACTATAAACAAAGCAGCATCATGTATGTATGCTTACCTCACTCAGTTGGCCAGTAAAGCACAAATTTATGGTTATCATTTACTCACCCTTTAAGTGACTAACTCGGTTTAACGTCATTCCTGTGTAAAACATAAAATAAGTTATTTTGAGAAAAGTCATCATAACTTGGTTGGTTTGGTTACCAACATTCTTCAAAATATCTTTATATTCCGAAGAAGCATAAGTCATACAGGTTTGGAAAGACATGAAGGTAAGTAAATGATTACTGAAATACCATTTTGGGGGGGAACTATCCCTTTGATATTTACTTTCAGTAACCTACATCAAAACAGACAACACAAAATACAATTACCGCTAACAATTTATGTTTTGTATCTTTTATTGCTGTGGATGGTTGCATTGTTTTTCAATCTGATATTTTCCCAGAAACCCCAAAAATACAGTTTATGTAGGTACAGTAGGCCACTTACTTAATATCCTGTTGCGCATCAGTAGCATTACTGTACAAAAATATACATCTGTGTTCACCCAAGGAATAACAGATATTCTGTACATTTTTCAAATTAAAATCCAATTTTAAAGTCAATTTTAAAAACATTGTCTCTTCACCCTTGTGATGTACCATGATCACGTCAATGCAGAGATGTCATCAGGAATCACTTATCACTTGTACACGTATAAAGTCTTGGTTCATGACTGAAATTCTCTTAGAAATAATGACAAAGAACTTGAGATCAAAGAGGTATTGTATTATTAACTCTTCCCATCATCAAAAAAGAACAAAAATAAAGTCCTGTGTATGACACTATTCTTAAAATGTGGCAATGATGATTATACTCAATATTAATACCACAGAAATTCCATTGGCATTTATACGATATCTGTATTTGCATAGATCAATAAATGACATTAAAAGCACATTTTACTGTGGCAACATTCCTCTAGTGTTGATTTAACTGTTGTCAACGGATAAATATAGCATTATTTTTTTCATCCTAAAGTACACATAAATCACTACGAATGAAGACAAACATTTCAATTAAATATTTTTGTTGATAAATTCTATAATCACATCAAAATAATTTCAAAAATCGAATTAGCCAGGAAGATTTTAGTTCGCAAAACAAATACAAAACCCTTGTCCAGTATTAAAAATTTGTACTTTGCTTAAACATTCCCACAACAAACCCAGAGGTTCTAAAATATTATATGAAACAAAGAAAGACAAAAAATGTAATGCTTTTTCTAGACAAAATGATTTTGTCACAGTGTTCTAATGATCCTTGTGTATATTCTTACATTAGCTCTATAATCTACACTGTTCAATTTAACACAGTAACCCATTAGTGTTTGTGTCATAGCTAAATAAATACTACAAATATTTAGAACAAACTATCAATTAAATAAAGGTTTCAGTTGCTACTTTCAACTTTTTGGGGGATTTAAAACTGGTAGAAGAATCTAAGCAGTTTTAATTAATCAAGCTAATTTCAATTTAGTAACATAAAACATTATCTAATTAAGATCTACACAATTTAAAACAGCGGCCTACACACATTCCAACAGCCTACAATCATCATGACTACTAGATGCAAACTAAAACGCAAAATAAAACGGAAATTGCACACAACCGTTTAAAAAACACACCAGATCCAAACAGTAACAAATCCATTAAGAAACACACACTCGATGATTTTGTGCAACTGCGTAAACAAGACACGAGATAGTAGGGCTGTCAAAATGGCTGAAAAACTAAATTCGAATTTTGTATTTAAATATTATCAAAATTCGAATTATGTTCTAATTTAAAATGCATCATTTCAGTTAGGGTGAAGAAAAGCTTTTGGCTTCTCCTCTGAGCAAAATATTACTAATGCACGTTTATTCATAGCATAAGATAAAATGACTGTGGATGTGGACATAATGTTTAAAATAATGTTTATAAACCAATTATAATTAATTGTTGCTTAAACAACTATAAACAAAGCAGCATCATGTATGTATGCATAGTTTAATACAAAGGGCGGAAAGCCAATCACACAGAGTACATTTCTCATTTAAAAACACGAGATGCAGTGGAATGGGGAAAAAACAAAGTCTCAAGGGGGATATGTTTCGAGATATGTTTTTTTTCAAAGTTAAACTTGCATTAATTTTACATGGCTTTCTAAACATGCGGCTCCTTTGTGCGAGACGCGAGTGCAACGGTAATAGATGTCCCTCTAGAAAATGCGCGAAACATGTGTTCTGTGTGAACGGCGTGGTTTCAGTTTTGATGTAAACAAGATCTTCTCCGCATTGATGTTCCCTTTTTCCACAATATTTTTAATGAACAACGCAGCAGCGCCACATCTAGTGGCTTCAACTGGATAGGCTAACAAAAGCATTATAATGCAACGACACTTCCATCGTTATCGCATCTCGTGCGCCACTGATAAGGCTGCCTCCTTAACGCACACCTAAAATTCGAATGCAAGGTTTTTGCACTCAAATATGGATTTTTATTTTAAATTCGACGAATATTCAGAAAAAATTTTGACAGCCCTACAAGGTAGTACTTGGTAGTGTCACTACTGAGAAGCAGCTTCATCTTTGACATGTGCATTATGGGAATCAAAAGACATCAGGTCACAGGATTCGACCTCTGCTCTGCCCTCAGACAAGCTGCTCTTTTGAGACTTTGGCTCATCAGAAAAACCCTGACTGACACCATCACTTTCTGAGGAGAAAGGTGAGGACTCGTTGGGTTGCATGGGATACTCTGCAGGTGGGGCAGATGACTCGAGATGAAGGGCGGCGGGGTCAATGAGCAGGGAAGAGATGTCTATAGGAGGCACAGAAGAGTCGAGAGACGAGATTGAAGAATTCATCAAAGATGCCATGTCTGTCAGCATGCTATGATCGAGAGGCAGATTTGGGAGAAGAGGGTGTGAGAGAGAAAGGGGAGGAGAAACATCTGAAGGTGGTGCAACAGAAGAACTGAAATCCACAGCAGGATATTCCTCTGTATTTTGCTCCTCAGGGTTACGACTAGGAACCTCACTATCTTGAAGCTCCTCTGCAAAGAGAGACATTTTGCACATTTTACGACCTAGACTTTGACTCACAGATTGAATTCTGTTCGCCTAAATTTAGCAAGGTGGCCTCACCAACACCTGATACGTCAATGTCCTCTCGGACAGCTAGGGATGTGTTTGTCATGTCAATGGAAGAAGTGGATAGGTCCAGTCGGTCTGCTATGTCTGACATCTCCGAATTCATCATGGCCACTTCTGACTGATCCGAGAAACCTGGAGGAACCATTGCTTTGATACATTACAATGTCTTTTCATGATTCTTGTTCTAGATGAAGCACATTTTTCGATGCCTTACCAGGATCCATGACTCTCTGAATGGGAGGTGGCAGTGGGGTGTCAAGATCAAAGCCACTCATTGACTGACTAGACGCCATTAAGGACACCTGAGGATATACATTTCAGATACACTGTTGTAAGCATCTACCAAAAATTCAAACCAGAAGCAAATTTATTAATGTTGTTTAGACAAGTTATGTACATACACAAAACATTTACAGGTATAGTCGAACATTCAGTCATCATTTACACACCCTCACATCATTCTAAACCTGTTTGCATTTCTTTCTTCTAGGGCTGCACAATTAATCAAAAAAAAAAAAAAAAAAGCAAAATTAGGACCATAAATATTAGCGTTAAATATTAGTACTGTAATATTACAGTTGCAATATAAAATAAAAAATATTACATTGTTTCTTAAATACTTGATTTTTTTTTACAATGAAATATTACAAAAGTAATATTTCTTATATAATTTTTGTTTAGTAATTTTTCTATTTTTATTTAGCAATAATAAATTTATTTGACCACTACCACCCAATGTAAGGCTTCTTGTAAAACAGTACATTTGAAAATTCATGGATAACAACAATAATTATATTTTAGCATTATAAACACTACTGTTACTAAAGAGCTTACAAATACTGGTTGATTAACCATTACAGAAACATAAAAAAGGATTTTGGTAATCGCCAATAGTTTAGGGCAGCTGTGGCACAAATCTTACATTGGATGGTGGTGATCTAATAAATTTGTTAAGCACTGTATAATAATCAAATTTGGGCCAAATTGAGCTGCCCTAAAAACAAACACAGCAAATCAGTTTTTCAGAAGTAAATGATGTGTTTTTTTTCCCCAAATCGTGCAGCCCTACTTCATTCTGTTTGCTTTGGACCCCATTTACTGTATGGACCAAAAAACTGAGACCTTTTTAAAAATATCTTGTTTTGTGTTGCACATTAGAAAGAAAGACATACAGGTAAGTAAATCACAACAGAATTCTGGGTGAACTATCCTTTTAAGTACTGTGACATCACACAACAGTCTTGTGTAAAACTACCTCTGTGAATCCATTTGTAGGAAGCTCATGCTCTGGCGTTCCTGCCACAGGAGAAACTTTTGGACTGACTTTTTCAGATTTTGGGCCGTCAGGTCGTGCTGGGATTCGGTGCAGGTAGCCATATCCAATGCCACAGCCAAGACTACAAAGACAAAACATTATAATGAAATGCATAAAAGCTCTGGAGGAGGCAGTTATGCGAGTTGTTTCCTCATAATAATGGCTGATTCAGGACTTCGTTACATTTATATCTTCTGTAACAGGGATATTACCTGCCTTCTCCCCCCCAGGCACCATTTGGTGTGACAACCACCTCCCTGCAATTATCAGTCTCTGTATTGTAGACCAGCAGCTTCAGTGGTTTCCCCTCATGGGCTTCAATTAGGGAGAAGAAATCCTCTGACTGTTGGGAAATCAAAACATTGCTTGATTGTAAATAACTTGCATGCACATATTTTGTTCCCCCAGAAATATCAAGCAAGCATTCAAGAAAAGAATTCACGTCTTACATCTTGGAGAACCTGGTCAGCTCCAACAATGAAATCTGAATGTTCCTGGAGTCCGGCCAATGCTGCTGGTGAATTTGGCTCCACATCCTAAAACCAAAGTGAGTAAAATAATTACACAAAGAAAATAAAGAGAACTGTCAAAGAAGATGAAGTACTTAAAGAAAATGCAAGGATCACTTACGAGAACATGCCAAACATTTTCATTGGCTCCTTGAAAGCTGCAGAAGCGGACACTGGCTCCCAGAAGTCCTTGGCCACCCCACATGTTGCTGGGAACCACTTCCAATTCTCGGATCCTCATGGTCTTTGTGCTATACACTTCCATCTTCACCGGTTTCTCCACATTAGCCTTGAGGAGGTCCTTGAGCATTTCATTCTCCTGGTTCTGTTTCAGATAGCGTATGACCCATTATAATCAGAGTAACATTGACCGCATTTATATGCACATCAACAACCATGTTTTGGTTAAGTCTTTATTCCAACTAAGACATGCACTTTCATCTTCTGTTAGGAGATGAAGAAGTGTATATATTCTGAATAAGATGCCCCAAAAATTTTAAATGCTGTTTAACACAGATTTCTAGAAAGTGGAATAATGGGTTCAGGTTATTGCAATTAGTTTTAATATGTTTACATGATTCATGCATAAACAGAATATGACCACAGTCCAATATTCAATTATATGTTGTTTTTAATAAGTATCGCTTTTTATTTCTCCTCTTTCCTACTACTTGTTTCACTTCTGTTTCAGTTTTTATAACCATTTCTTACTATGTGTAAGTAAGTTGTTGTTTTTTAGCACGTAAATTTGGCAGCGTTATTTTTTAGGATTACTGATAAACTACTGTCGCTTGATTTGTATTATTTGTATTTGTTATTTATTTTAATTGTAGTTACATTATGTCTGTATAGGTCTTTTATTAAGTTTTATTTAATTTTTTTTTTTTTAAATAACTAATTTATTTGAGTTATTTTACTACTTCAGCAAACTAAATGGAAATGAAATAATATATATATTGAATTTATAAATGTGTATATGTATGTGTGTATGGTTGTACATACACATATGTAGTTGTTTTTTTGGTGTTTGGCTTAGTGTTATGTTAGAATCATTATTATACTCTTAGTCTTATACCTTTTGTTCTTTAATATTTTGAATTGTTTTTAGCTTTATTTTTGGTTTTTCATTTAAATGTTAAGTTTAGAAATTTTGTTGTATGCATTTGTCATTTTTATTTAATTGATTTATTTTTAAAATGTGTATAAGTAGTATTTATAAAGTTTTAGCTTTTAGTTCTGGATGTGTTTTTAGTTGTTTTAATACTAGAATTGATTGCTTCTGTTGTCCTCGTTTGTAAGTCGCTTTGGATAAAAGCGTCTGCTAAATGACTAAATAAATCAAATAAAAAGATGACTGTCACAGACCACTGAAAACAGATAAATATTTGTATAATTTTTTTTAGCTACAACACAAACACTACCGGATTGCTGTGTTAAATTGTACACGGTGTAGATTATATAGAGCTAATGCTGGAATTTACATAAAAAAATCTTTAGAACACAGAAACAGCATTACTTGTAGGACATTTTAAAATGTTTACATGAAGAATGCATAATCAGAATATGAACATTACGACATTAATTAGAACATTGTGTATATAAATCTAATCAAGCTGACAACGATTACATCACGGTCACTGATTACGAACTCAATGGAATCATTTGCTGGTTATTACTTGTGTGACACCCACTTAAATCTTTGGATTAAATGTTCAAGATTACAAGAAATAACCAATAAGGCTTTACAAACTTACAAGACGATTATGGCCAATGGATATGATGAAATCAAAAAACGGTTCCAACCCAGCTTTCTCTGCTGGTGAGTCCTCTTGAATCTGTAAAGGAATAGAAGTTCATCACTGCAGAGCACAAATTCCATTCAGATGGAGTCTTTATTTCAAAAGCATTTATGTTGTGCACGTTGTTGTGTATTCTGGGAAGTTTAATAACATCCATGGAGTGGTACGTAATCTGACGTAAATTATATCTGAGAATTATGAGTTTATTCAGTGACGTGGCAGCTACGCTTAGCCCATATATTCCTAAAATCCTGGAGCTGTTGTTCCACAGCACTTTTACACACTGAGGACTATGTACCGTGTGACCATAATGTAAGAAACCACAGATGTTACAATAAATAAGAAGGTGTTTTCGGAGCTGTCAGATTTACAGCACAACAGAACCTGTAAATACTATTTCCTGACTTTTGCCAGCATCGTTTTTTATGAAAGTGGAATAATGGGTTCAGGTTATTGCAATTAGTTTTAATATGTTTACATGATTCATGCATAAACAGAATATGACCACAGTCCAATATTCAATTATATGTTGTTTTTAATAAGTATCGCTTTTTATTTCTCCTCTTTCCTACTACTTGTTTCACTTCTGTTTCAGTTTTTATAACCATTTCTTACTATGTGTAAGTAAGTTGTTGTTTTTTAGCACGTAAATTTGGCAGTGTTATTTTTTAGGATTACTGATAAACTACTGTCGCTTGATTTGTATTATTTGTATTTGTTATTTATTTTAATTGTAGTTACATTATGTCTGTATAGGTCTTTTATTAAGTTTTAGTTTTATTTAATTATTTTTTTTTTTAAATAACTAATTTATTTGAGTTAATTTACTACTTCAGCAAACTAAATGGAAATGAAATAATATATATATTGAATTTATAAATGTGTATATGTATGTGTTTATGGTTGTACATACACATATGTAGTTGTTTTTTTGGTGTTTGGCTTAGTGTTATGTTAGAATCATTATTATACTCTTAGTCTTATACCTTTTGTTCTTTAATATTTTGAATTGTTTTTAGCTTTATTTTTGGTTTTTCATTTAAATGTTAAGTTTAGAAATTTTGTTGTATGCATTTGTCATTTTTATTTAATTGATTTATTTTTAAAATGTGTATAAGTAGTATTTATAAAGTTTTAGCTTTTAGTTCTGGATGTGTTTTTAGTTGTTTTAATACTAGAATTGATTGCTTCTGTTGTCCTCGTTTGTAAGTCGCTTTGGATAAAAGCGTCTGCTAAATGACTAAATAAATCAAATAAAAAGATGACTGTCACAGACCACTGAAAACAGATAAATATTTGTATAATTTTTTTTAGCTACAACACAAACACTAACGGATTGCTGTGTTAAATTGTACACGGTGTAGATTATATAGAGCTAATGCTGGAATTTACATAAAAAAATCTTTAGAACACAGAAACAGCATTACTTGTAGGACATTTTAAAATGTTTACATGAAGAATGCATAATCAGAATATGAACATTACGACATTAATTAGAACATTGTGTATATAAATCTAATCAAGCTGACAACGATTACATCACGGTCACTGATTACGAACTCAATGGAATCATTTGCTGGTTATTACTTGTGTGACACCCACTTAAATCTTTGGATTAAATGTTCAAGATTACAAGAAATAACCAATAAGGCTTTACAAACTTACAAGACGATTATGGCCAATGGATATGATGAAATCAAAAAACGGTTCCAACCCAGCTTTCTCTGCTGGTGAGTCCTCTTGAATCTGTAAAGGAATAGAAGTTCATCACTGCAGAGCACAAATTCCATTCAGATGGAGTCTTTATTTCAAAAGCATTTATGTTGTGCACGTTGTTGTGTATTCTGGGAAGTTTAATAACATCCATGGAGTGGTACGTAATCTGACGTAAATTATATCTGAGAATTATGAGTTTATTCAGTGACGTGGCAGCTACGCTTAGCCCATATATTCCTAAAATCCTGGAGCTGTTGTTCCACAGCACTTTTACACACTGAGGACTATGTACCGTGTGACCATAATGTAAGAAACCACAGATGTTACAATAAATAAGAAGGTGTTTTCGGAGCTGTCAGATTTACAGCACAACAGAACCTGTAAATACTATTTCCTGACTTTTGCCAGCATCGTTTTTTATTTTTAAAAGGCTTCCACAGATGTTAGTACCGTAGATAAATATAAAAATGAACATGATAAAGACAAACATGAACGCACACTGTCAGTGCATAGCTGTCAAAGCCTAAAGCAAATCCGACACGAGAACTTCATCAAAGCATATAGCTAGCATGCAAAGCTGCTCGATGTCAAAAAATAACGTCAGGAAAATTGAAGTTATTTACCCCATGGACGTGATATCCTTCTGTTCCCCCCTCAGGTGCACCAGTGCTCTGTGTTAAACCCATTACTCTTGAGGGTTTCGATGTTTTACAGTGTTATGTTTAGCTTTCCGAAACAAACGACCCTGACAGAGATTACTCAAAACATCGTGGCCATGTTGTCCATCTAGGCAGGCGAGAGCAATCGAGCAAGATGCCGTCGATCAAAGGATTTTTCGATCTCGGTACTTTATTTCTTTTTCATATTTGTCAGCTAAAACATTCTCAGAACTAAGCAATTTAGCAAATTTAAGTTGTGCGTGGCTAAATTGCATAATAAAAATAGAAAATGTATAATATAATTAAATGTTAGTTATATTTTATTCACATCCTAAATAATATATTTTATTATATTATTATTTTTATTATTATTACTGTTGTTGTTGTTAATTACAGGTTTTGACAAGGCAACAAAACTCAACAACAAAATTCGAATTATTTGTACCCACACAAAGTTGCATAAATTTCCATTTTAACTTCAACCTCACTGTTCAACAATTCGTTCAGCTTTGTAATAAAAGAAACCGTCGTTGTTGTTGTATTTTATTGATAGTTTTGTCATTATTTTTGAAAAAAATTAGTTATATTCAGACATCTTGAGGCAATTTCTGTTGTTTCCTGAGGCCCTCTTGTGGGGCTTCCAGGTAAAGAACAACAGTAGAAAGCCTAAACGTAGTTTTATGAGTATGAGTGTGAAAATTAATCAAACCTCAAATTTGTTTTCATTTGAATAAACAATATCTACAGTGGGTACGGAAAGTATTCAGACCCCCTTAAATTTTTCACTCTTTGTTATATTGCAGCCATTTTTTTTCCTCATTAATGTACACACAGCACCCCATATTGACAGAAAAACACAGAATTGTTGACATTTTTGCAGATTTATTAAAAAAGAAAAACTGAAATATAGAAACCAATAGGTTAAGAATACTGGAATTCTTCCAGTCTCCCTTTCTTCCATGTAAATCAGTATTTCTCACTGGTTTTGTGAAATCAATTTTATTGAGATGAGTTATTCCAAAAAAACAACCTGGACATTTTGAAATGTCCAAAAACATTCACTGAAGTAAATACAGAGCCGGTATACCATTGATGAATGAAATATTCACAAAGCAAATGTAGCCTGAATTTCTTTATATATTACAAGGCATTCCTTAAATTAAAAACATTTCCTTTTAAATGAAAAGGCATGCTGGCCCTTGAAAAGATGATCATGAGATATGAAAATGGCATTTTGACATTTATATCAGCTAACTCATTTGAAACACTGTAACAAATACTCTGTGCTACACAAAAATAAAACTTTGATTCACATACATGATCGCTAAAGCTAAACACAACTGAGAAATAAATATGAATAGGCTTTTATAAATAAACATTTAACAGTAAAACTTTATTTACTGCAATAGGATTAGTTTGATAACTTATAAAAAGGTAATGAAGCCTTTAGTTTACAAAGAAAAAATACAAAATCTTACCTGAAACCACTGTACAAACTCTCCAAGACTTTTGGCAAAAATGTTGACATATTACTCATCATGATACTTTCCCCAGATTTTCACTGAGTGGTTTTTAACTGTATTCACACTGTGATCGTGAATGGTTACAGACTACATTGATATCCTTAAATATAATTCTAAGGAATATCCTTAAATTTCAAAGTTATTTACCATTGTTCTCATAGTAAATGAGATTTAATGATACTGTACAACTGCAAATGAACAATGCTCATTTGTCTTTAAAAACATCAGTAAAAATACTGAGCCACTCTGATCCCCATTAAGAAATTCCTACAAGAGACTCCAGAAGACTGACTCCTGAGTCCTCAGTTAGAGTGGGACTGGGACAGCAGGGGAACTGGAGCTGTGACATGTAGTCCAGATGACTGCACACTTTAAAATGATTGCGGCTTAGACCGTACTCATGGAAAGTGTCAAAAAAGACCAGGTCAGAGCCTGAGGACAGACTGAGGTCCATGTAACAGTTCATAGTGTGATCCGGAGATGCAGAAGGTGTATTCGGGATGTCAAATGGATCGTCGACGCATTCCATGGTGGCCTGATTAGCATTTTCATCCAGATACTCCAATTTAGATGTACTGGTGTTGCTTTCCTTTGTGGATGTGCCACCAGAAGCTTCTGTGGACAGATCATACTCTTTAATGTATGGACATCCTTCTCCATCAGAATCAGAAAAACTGAGTATGTGAGCAAGTCCTCTGCCGTCCACGTCCAGTGTGGGTCGCTCTGAGGAAGGCCTTCCATCCGTCTCAGAGTTCAGACTCCGAGAAGAAGAGCAGGAGGTGTCAGTCATGTCACTGCTCCAGCTGTTGTCCCCCTGCCTGCAGAGCTCTGAGCTCAGGAGAAATGAGGGAGAGTCATTTTCTACAGGAAATGTAATGGCTCTGTTCCTCTCCGCTGATTGTTGCTCAGTGGCAGTTAGTCTGTTGTCATCGTGCAGCCTCTTTTCCAGCTCCAGCTTCATGTGTGTGTGGATGTAGTGGCTCCGTACACGGCTGGAGTTGAACTCGATTCGGCCTGCGGGATTCCCACAACATTCCTTTGAACATCCACAAGGAAAGTTGGAGCGATCCATCTGTTGACAGATAATGTTTACCAAAAAAAATAAACAATCAGTACGGCTGCACAACTACTTCATTTCTCATAATTAACAACTGTTGCTGCCCATAGGAAAGAAAAATCATCTCAATGAGATTAGAAGGAGAGTAAATTGAGACTTCTGTTTTTTTCTCATGAGAAAACGACTTTAGTAATCTCACAAGTGTCTCCAAAAAGTCTGAGATTTCATTATAAACAAATATTTCTTAAATACACTACCATTCAAAATAATTCTTTAAAGAAATTAATACTTTTATTCAGCAAGGATGTATTAAATTGATCAAAAGTGGTAGTAAAGGCATTTATAATGTTATAAAAGACTTCTATTTCAAATAATTGCTGTTTTTGTTTTCATTAAAGGATTAACCAAAGAATCCTGAAAAAAAATGTATCATGGTTTCCACGAAAATATTAAGCAGCACAACTGTTTCCAACACTGATAATTATAGGAAATGTTTCTTGAGCACAAAATCAGCATATTACAGTTATCTGAAGCATCATGTGACATTAAAAAAAACTGTTATTTTAAACTGTATTAATATTTCAAAATATGATTGTTTTTACTTTATTTTTTAAAAATGCAGCCTTGGTGAGCTTAAAATTCCAATGAAAATCTCCTAGGCAGTGCAACATCTTTTGAGCAATAATATGTCAAAGATTAATATTATATATATAGAGAGAGAGAGAGAGAGAGAGAGACAGAGAGAGAGACAGAACAGTAGTTAATTTATTGCTTATTACTTGGCACTTGATGCCAGCCTGGCTGCAGGCACAGGTCTCCGGCTCACAGAAGCCCTGGCAGTGGCATCCACAGTCTTCCCTCCACCGCCGCAGATCCTTCAGCAGTTATTTTAAACTGTATTAATATTTCAAAATATGATTGTTTTTACTTTATTTTTTAAAAATGCAGCCTTGGTGAGCTTAAAATTCCAATGAAAATCTCCTAGGCAGTGCAACATCTTTTGAGCAATAATATGTCAAAGATTAATATTATATATATATATATAGAGAGAGAGAGAGAGACAGAGACAGAGAGAGAGACAGAACAGTAGTTAATTTATTGCTTATTACTTGGCACTTGATGCCAGCCTGGCTGCAGGCACAGGTCTCCGGCTCACAGAAGCCCTGGCAGTGGCATCCACAGTCTTCCCTCCACCGCCGCAGATCCTTCAGCTGCCTCTTTTCCTCCCGGTCGATTCGCACCCCTCCCACCCCTGCTGCTCTCAATAATGCACGTCTCCGTTTGGAAGAGTAGGGACGGAGGGATCCCATGTCTTTCAGCTTTGTGCTACTGAGATCGGCATCCTCATCTGGGATGTCGTTCACTGTCAGCCTGGCTGCTTCTGTCACCGTGAGAGTCCCACTGATAATCAGCTATAAAAAAAAGAAGATACTGTAAGAAGACAAGCTGAAAAGAAAATTGTTTCTTAATATTGTAAAATAACCAACTCGCCTTCTGTCTCATTGCCTCCAGCCTCTCCTCTTGGTGTTGCTCACGGAGCCTCTCCATTTGCAAGCGCTGCTGCTCCTTCGCGTGCTCCGCCAGGGTGAACTGCTGGCGGGCAGCGTGCCGTCTAACCATGCCTAGTGTGCAGCCACCGTGACTGGGCACACTGCTGAAACCTTGACAGCGCTGGAAAAGGAACACTGTAACCAGGCCAAACCGAACACTGCCTTTGGATTGAGTATCTTTTGTCTTCTTCAGGATGGATGAAACTAAAAGTAAAAAAAATCAAATGGATGAATTATTATCAAGGTTATTATAAAGATTTTGATGTTGGTTTTTACTTCAGTAAGGTTTTGACTGCCACTACATAGTTATTACTCTGTTGCAGGACAACAGATGTGATTTTCATGACAATGTGGGACACGTGCGGGACACAGATCAATTTACTTCTATCCGTTTAACTGTCACACCCCATTTTTGAACATTGACATTCACCCCATGGGACCTATTCAGTCACCAAATATAATGAACTGAATAACATACTAGCAGGTAAAATTACATTTTATACTAAAATACATTTCAGTTAGGTTATATTCCTTTATTAGACTATATAACTAGACTAAACAAAACATTGGCCGGATTCAGTGCATTTTAAACTTGTATGTTTTATTGGATCTGGCAGCTTTGAGCAGGATGTTTTTATCTAGTATGTGTCTTGAAGGCCTGGCTGGTTTAGCTGTATTTAACCTTCATCTGGAGTTCCCTTTTCAGGCCCACACTGGTTCCTTTGCAGTCATCATCAGAGAAAAAAAAGAAAGAAAAAAAAACCTCTCTGCAAATGCATTGGTTGTTGTTTTGTTCCACTCTAGAACGTCTGTGCATATGGATTTTTAAATGCCAGTCACAGCTTTTTTTTTTAAAAATTTATTTGATCATTTTTATTGCAACATTGCAATTAAACATTTTTACAGACATAGCTAGTCATTACAAAGCTCCCACTTTCAGCACTGTCCCGCACCCGTTCATCCTACCACTGCATAAAGTCACTCTCCAGAACCTT